ATTCATCATTCTTTCACATTTCCAGTTTACACGTTGGCTCAGCATCCCTCATCCTAGGTTTAGGACCAAGCAGATTAGCAGCAGGAATACAGAAGTCAACCCAACTGAGTGTCAATTGAAAATCCTGACGGCATATGACTGCAACCGGAAACCGTCACCCACGGGTTGGAACTCAAACACTCCTTTACCACGTGGGGTTGTTCTCTAAATGTCATTTGGCCTACTGGATGAAAAGCGCCAGCTCTTCCCAACAAGTTTAAATAAAGCCCACAGGATGATGCTGCTTCTCCCGGGGGAAGCAAAAGCTGATAGCTTTGAAATAGGAAGGGGGTGGCGGCGTCTTTTCAGAGGGGAGGGGGTGCCCAGCATGACAGATCCCGTATGGTTCACAGCTGAGCTTGTTTTATCAAATGGCACCAAACTAAGAGATCAGTGGCCATGTTTTTGTTTGTTTTAAAAGAAAAGCACCATCACAAAGCTTCACCGAGGAACAAAGTTCAAATGGTCGAGTGCAGATGATTTTTGGTTGTCAGTGCTGAAATGCCAAAGAAAAAAAAAAAAAAATCAAATGCGGACTATAACATAAAAGCATATCACAGAAGCAAGCAAAATATGTCACCGAAGGGCTGTGGGCATGAATAAAAACTGATTTAACATGATCCCAAATAGTGGGCACTAAATTGCATGTTTACTCTAACATATTGTTGCATGGGCTGGTGGTGCACATGTTCAGCGTGTGTGTACACTAAGAATGCGATCTTATAATTAAAATCCTAAATGACGAGACGAAATTGCGTGTTCACTCACTCGTAACAAATTGTGCGTGCTTTTGGCGAAATGTCAACGTGGCGGCGTCCACTCTATTTAAAAGACAGATTCCGCTTTCGTAGCACTCGTGGTTCTCACCATGGAATATTTGAGAGGGCATCAAAAGTCCAAAATGAAGCTGAATGATGACACCGAAAGCGTTATTGGAAGACGCAAATGCTGAGTGAAAGAAAATAAAATAATCCTTCCGGTTATTTTGGAGAAGCCAGCAAACCCATAAAAGCTATGTTTGATTTAACTCGCCCCAAGAGCGTAGCAATTAAATGTACAGATATATGCACTGCCCAGCCTTTGTGACATTGCAATTAAATCTTGGGAGAGGCCAGCGCCAATTGTCACAATGCATTGAAATGACGCAGACACATGGAAATGCAGTTGAAAGTTGACGCAGCTTGTGCCCTGCGACTGACTGGCAACCAGTTCAGGGTGTAGTCTGCCTTCCGCCCGAAGTCAGCTGGGAGAGGCTCAAATTCAGTCCGATAGGCCTGCCACGCACTGGGAGACGGAACACCACCACTCCCGCCTCCGCACTTAGGTAATAATTTCGACACTAATATCAATAAACGTCTACATATACAGTATACATGCATATTATATATATGTATATACATGCATAACTATCTTTCAACTTTGTTCATAGATATTAACATGAGTACCGGTATGTTGGTTATATCAAATTAGACACAAAGTGTATTTATTGTACTGCATTTGAGTAGATGGAACATTCCATATGGCCTTATTCCATATTTCTCCTACTATGGGCAAGATTTACTTCACGGATATTTGCGCAGTCATGGGTGTGCCTTGTGTATAGAGTCCATCTAGAGATCAACTTTCGGCCTATTTTTGCTATTTTCCAAATCAAGCCCTTAGTGTTTTAGGGTCATACCATAGCAGTACCATTATACTTACTGTAAAGCATTGCACATTTTCTGAATGGTGCTGATATTAAGTACACTCAAGACAAGTGGAAGAATTAAAAAATGAATAATGCTCATGAATAAATGTATTTTTATAAAAACAAAAAACACCATATGCACCAATATGTTATCTTAAAAATACAATGAAAATGATCGATAAACACTGATAAAAATCTCCATCCATGCTGGCAAGTGAACTTTAAAAAATAACTTTAAAATGTATGTGGAGCCAGTGAGGGGATGCCAGTGTAGGAGTTATGTGCTCCCTCTTACGAGTACTAGTCAGGAGGCGGGCAGCAGCATTCTGGACCAACTGGAGACGCTTAATGGAGGATTGGCTGACTCCAAAGTAAATTGCATTACAGTAATCCAGTGACAAAGGCATGAATTTCTGTTTCAAAGTGCTCATGAGAAAGGAGAGGTTTTACTTGAGCCAGATGCCTAAGATGAAAGAAGCTGGATTGAACAACGGCACTTATTTAACAGTGCAATTTAAAATCACTGTCCAATTTAAGACCCAAGTTTGACTGTTGGCTTAAGATAAGGAGCCAGGGGACCCTAGTCTACAGGATGGGATGTACAAGGGCCACTGGGACTAAACAGCATCACTTCTGTCTTCTTTTCAATAGAACCCCCCCCCCACCCCCCCGAAAGTGCCTGCTCACAAAAAGCCAAAATGCAGAGATTTTTTTTTTTTTTTTTTTTAAAGCCACTGTATGCGGGGACATGGACATCGATGTGATGGCCTGATTGGAAGACCAGTGTCATGGTTGAGAGTGAACGGCAACGCATGGCTTCAAAACGTCATTACAATGGGAGCAGTCTGCCCAATACAATCAAATCATATCTTACTGTAATTGGAGTCATTGGCATCGTCATCGGAGTGAAACGTGTCACATCAGGAGCAATTTATTACATATCATGAATCTATAGGATCATCGGCAGTGTATCGAGATACGTGCGACATCAGTCAGCCGCAGTGATAGAGAAGCACATCCCTAATTCACACAAAGACATCATCATTCGACACAATTCATAAAATTCTCTCAGCACAATTCGAAATGTAGCCCAACGCAAATCTTCACAAGTCTCGCTGCATTGCGCTGCACAGCGCACATGCCAAAAGATGAACTCTTCAAAAGGTAATGGAATGAGAGGAACTTGACACTCCCATTAGGCCTCGACTGGAAAGTGCAGTATTTGATCAGGAGCTGGAAATGGTGGGGAAAAAAAATGAACGGAAACTAGATCCCACATGACTTATTTTCCTCCAGGCTCTTGGCTTTAGGTGTCACTCAGACTTAATAAAGCTCTCAGATATTCATTTTATCGCAGAAAATAGACTGGGCAAAAATAAAATCAGCAGGTTTTGCCCTGATGGGGCAAAGTAATGACGAGGTGAAATGGACGCAACGCATTTTGTCCATAGTAATACTATCAAAATGAAAGCATATTCACTTCTGGAGTTTTCCGAGAATCAATTCAAACTGAATATTGGCCTTTTCCGCAGACTTTATTTCATCACGGATCCAACAAATACGGCACTTTGGCGGTAGTCTGTCACCTTGGGTGAGACCAACGCGGTCTTTCTACCCTCTCCAGTTACAGTATTCTCTAACCCGCTGAACCTCCACAGCCAGCCTATAACTCTTATTTTATTTCCGCACTTTATACATTAGAGGCACATTACGAACATCCCACTAGATAGGATGAGTCCACTTTTACTTCCAGGTGTTACGTTGCAAGGTTAGGTCATTTAGATGGCTATGACCTTTGATGGCTCCATCTTCAATGAAAATGATCTGGTGATCTCCCCCAGTGACATGCACACGGATGCCCTTGTGCCGTACATCCCACACTGTGCCAATAAGGCCGGAGCGGAGCAATTCACTTGGGAGACATTATGGAAATATTCAGCGCAGAATTACAAATTCTAATTAAAAGGGAAAGCCACATTTTTCGGTCTTAGCTATGGAGGGAGTGTACCGTATTTTCCGGACTATAAGTCACAGGGTTTTTTTCATAGTTTGGACGGGGGTGCGACTTACACCCTGGAGCGACTTACGTGTGAAATTATTAACACATTATTATGTCATTTCACATGTTATTCTCACATTAAACCACAAGAGGGCGATTTAGACCTGTGTTGATAAATCGACGATGAATCTGACGTTAAGAGGCGGAGAAGAGGAAGCGCCGCATCTTCCACCTCCAGAGTTGGCGGAGTTGTTTGAAAATGACACAGAGGATGAAGATTTCATTGGATTTAGTGATATGGAGTGACACTGATGGTTTGGTAAACTTGTTAGCATGTTCTTTATGCTATAATTATCTGAATAACTCTTCATATGTTACATGAACATAGCAGGCACGTTCTCAGTTCGTTGTTTATGCGTCATGCAATGTTAGCATATCGTACACTTATTTAGCCTGTTGTTCTCTATTATATTTTCATTTTAAATAGCCTTTCAAGATGGCATGTCGGTTCTTGGGGTTGGATTTTATCAAATAAATTTCCCCAAAAAATGCGACTTGTACTCCAGTGTGACTTATATATGTTTTTTTTTCTTCTTTATTATCAATTTTATGGCTGGTGCGACCTATACTCCGGAGCGATTTATAATCCGGAAAATACGGTATGTGGACTTGGGTACAGAAACTTAAATGGGGGTCTTTAAAGGGAAAAACAAAGAATGCTCAATACGGATTTTTTTTTTTTTTTTTTTTAGAGTATTTGTTCTACTGTTGATGTTCATCAAAGCGAATAATTTGCTTTTCAAGACGTAATTAGATCAAATAAAGTCAAACCAAAAAAACAAAGTCCCGAGTGTTCTGATATGCAACTAATTATTCTGAAGAAGACAGATGTTAAATTGTGTATGCCCATTAGCGCAAAGACTTTCTGAAGATTTATCATTCATGTAAATCATGAATAAAATATGTCCTTGTTGGGAGAAAATGCTACATCTGTTATGCACACCATTTACACCTGTTTGCAAGAAGACAAGTGCGACAATCTAACCTACAGAGTGGACACAATGTGTGACAAGCCGCCATTTGTGGCCTGGACAATTGTGGAGCAACAACCAAATGATACGTTGGCTCAAAAATACTCTCATTATAACCCTTCGATTCACCAATAATGATAACCTGATAACCTGATAAGCTGTTCACTGTAGTAACCGCTGTCCCTCAAAGGGTTAAAATAACTGAATTTGCCATAATTTATGTTTTTGAAGTACATGCATTTGGATTTTCCTCAGATGTACCGTTTTAGTCAATAGTTTAAAGCAGTCAAACAGAAATCAGTGTCATCAGGATCACGGACAAGGCGGTGCTGGTGGCCGAGGTCAGACCACCAGCCGCCCGGACGGTAGCGTCTCCAGTCGCCCCTAGCGACCATCACACTGGCATGCTCCGGAACAGACAGGGCCGCTCACACAACAGATGGAACTAATGATGCGAAACAGAGAGATCATCTCACCGTAGTGCTCCAGGAAGCCACAAAAAAGAAGTTCAGAAGTTTGAATGATGGAATCGCAGCAACTTTATGTGTGGCATTTTTTTTTCTTCCATTGTTTTTTTTTTAAACCAGAAAAGGCATGCAAAGTTTTTCAAAGACACTGACATAGAATAAAATGAATGCACAATGAAGTGATAGTCTGCATTTCAGTGTTCTTATGACCCACCACTGGATTGTCATTTTTGTGTTGTTCACCACACCATCACTTAGAATACGGAAAATAATTATGCCATCATCAAAAAAATAAATAATAAATAATAATAATAATAAAAATAGATTAGGCGCATTTTGAAATCTCAAGTATGAACACATAACTTGAACGTGATCCAAATCATACAGCGATCGCGATGGAAAACAGCAGTTGGACAACAATAATGAGACAGATTCCCGCAGTGGAATAAAAAGAATCAAAACATGAACTTGAAAATTAAATATTTAAATATACTTTATCATTCATCGCATGCGGCTTACGTTTGAGAGCAAAGCCTGAAGTCAGCTGTGAATAGAAATGGCATATTCGCCGGTGCTTCATACGTGCACCGCCATCCTTTGGGTTGGCGTGTGTAAGAGTAGTAAGCAAACCGCTCGGTCCTGAACTGACAAAAACACAAATCAAATTTGATCAGAGCACATTTGCATATCCTCAGGGATAGGATTAGATTTAGAGGTCATCTCTTATGAGCCAGTCCTCTGCAGAGAGCGATGTAATGTTTCTTTGTCAAGCGTATTCAATCGAAAGCAGTCTGTTTTCCAAGTCCGACAGTCACCGAGATGAAGAGCGGCGCACCCGCGCAGACTGTGTGTGAAAAGAGAGGAGAGCCAAACACCCCGGGATGGGATTGAACCTGGATGGAGCCTCATCCCATGCCCACCGTCCACCGATGAAGAGGATCCCTGGGAAAAGTCCGCTTTCGACACTGACACAAACAGCAGCGCAAAGGCCTGTATTAGAGTCAGGTTAGCCAAGATAACCCTATCAGCATGATCCCCGGGGGCGCCGCACGCAGGCCTTACTGGCAAGCAAAGCTACACTTCCTTGACTCCTTGGCACATTAGCTCTTAGATTACAATGACCTTCATTATATCAGCTACCCTTATTACAACACGTGGAATGAGTCTTTCCCTTGGGTGGAGCCCAGCAGGGAAGGAGGCCGGGGGGGGGGCGTCGAGTAAAGCAGCGAGGAAAATCTAGAATGCATTGAGTGGAGAATACCACACCTCAAACTTGAAGTGTAAAGTATACTTTACACCTGTCAAACAAAGTGTTTGAAAATTATGTCTCTCGAAGTGGTTTGTGTAGGGTCACCACCAGACATACGGGTTTCCTGAAACACATCCACCTTTCGAAACCTACAAAAAGTACTCTAGGATTTCAAAATGAAACAGGATGTCAATCTGCAGATTTGTAGGAAGTGAAGAGCAGCTTTAAGTATTTTGCGTTCAGGAAACCCGGAGCTCCGAGTAGCAGCCCATACGGTATTTTTACCTTTCCTATCTTTAAATTTCTTTTGTAACTAGAGGCAATATTTTCCTGTTGAGGCGTTTCGTAACTTGAAAATTTCGTATGAAGAGACGATCATAAGTAGACGTACACTATTCTTATTTATTACAAGAAAATAAGACAAGATCTGACATTTTCATTTTCCCGATTTTGAATTCCCGAAAGGAAAACTACTTTGGAAGAAACAATTTGACAAAAATATTTGACAAGGAGCCATTGTTTATATGTTGAAGACTAAAACCCGGCACCAATGTATACAGTCTATGACACAAAATAGGGCAATATCACCAAGAGTGTTGCCAATGACAGTATTATAAAAAAATAAAAAAAACAGAAAGGAAAACTGTAACTTCATTAGAGATTTATAATGAGCACCAGCGCCAACTACAAGTCCCAGAGCAAAGCAAACAGGCACCTGCTGAATGCTCTCTGTTCATGGGGTTTTCATAGCTTAATTAATCTCGGCCTTGGGGTATCATGACTGGTGCATCCCGGTTCTGTGCATGTTGGAGACAATTATGTTGTTCCACAAAACAGAGGTGCAAGTTCAAACCATAGCAGAGCAACCCGAACTTCACACATTTTGGCTTTGGTGAAAGAAATGTCACTGACCTACCAAATTGTTCTTAATGGGATACTTTTTATTATAAAACAACTTGATATTTGAGTGATGAGGTCCAATCAGAACAAATGTTTACAGTCTTCTGTACACAGTATGGACATATTATGGAGAAAAAAAGGTTGACGCGCTGGTGGACTGGAACAGTGATTCCCAACCAAGCTGCTACGTATGAACCTGGTCAAACCTTTTCATCGCTGTACACGTATCGTGACCGCAACCATCCCGTATCACCATTCCGTGCTGTACACACTCTATCGGTTGAGTAGATGTTTAGTGGGCAATAAAATGATTTCTGACATGACAGATTGAGTCACCAATCATCGAAAAACGAAATATTCTGAGATATTATCAAAAGAACACTCTGCTTTTGGTGTGCTTTGTCAATTGACAAAAAAACTGAAGGAATAATTCAAGCCATGAAGCTTACAAATGACAAAAAATAATTATTTTGTTCATTGAATAGTCTCATTCATTAAATTGTACTACTCTACTGTTCAAACTCAAAAGGGGGGAAAAAAAGAGAAATTCCCATGATTGCTAATTACCAGTTTTAAATACCTATGATAATGTAAGAGAGTCTTCATCAAATGAAGTAATTAATGTTGCTTCATACATTTTCAATTAAGTCACTATCATAATGCCTTAATTATTAAAAGTTGATACCATTCATGGTGTTGCTCACTCTGCTTTGCGATTGAGCCGTTGGTGTGGGCATGACAGTCATGCAGAAGAAAAAAAGTCTGATTCCCTAGCAGAGGTTCTGATTAGGTGATCGGAAAGCCGGCCTGATCACTTTTTTGGCTGATTGCAATTGCAGGGAAAAATATTTTTTTGTATTTTTTTTAAAATATTTAATTTAATGTTATTTTCTTCTAAATTAGTTTTAAGGGCCACAAAGCAACAAAATAACTCAGAATTACACAGATATTGTGTTCATTTTTGACTGGACTTCACCTTCAAGACATGGCTGAGGTATCGGATCTGGACTCGGTATTGGCCAGTCCTCAAAGTAGGGTGACCTCGACTCGGACTCGGGTTCAAATTAATGTGATTGAGGCATCCCGAAGCAAACCTCAAAATTCCCACACAAGCGTAAAGGAAACTGTAACCAGCAACCGCTCTCTCCCTTTCACAAAATCGCACTTTAGTGTTGATGTGCCAAAACATTGAACATATTCATTGTAAAATGTAAATTAAAAACAGGGATCAGATAAGACAGGCTCAGATTGACGGCAATAAAAACTTCCGCCAACATACACACGACGCGGGCTTCCAAATGTTTCTCCGAACCTGAAAATCCTCAAAATGCAGCTGCTGTTTTTTTATATTTCCTAAGGCCGTTGCTCAACGATGTCGCTGAGTGTAAAGGTACGATGGATTCATCTCAGATATCCCGCCCGGCTGCTCTCTAATCCAAACATCTGAGGTAAACATAAAACCAGGTGAGGCAACACGACTGTCTGAGACGCCGCGCCAATGCAGATCTCTTTAACACCCATGAGGCTGCTACATCTGACTTGCGTGACACATGTTGCTAAATATTTGTTTTCCTGACTCCCATCCTCGGAAAATCTGTTTTGCAAGCAGTGCACTGTTCACACTGAGTGTGTGAGTTTGGGATGCTGCTGACCTCCACTCGTGGCGTTGTGGGCGGATTGGGAGAATGACTCAAAGACCTCCTCAAAAAGCGATACACTTAAGAGCACACGTGTCAAAGTCAAGGCCCAGGGGCCATATCCGGCCCGCCATGTCTTTTTATGTGTCCCGCGAAAGCAAATCATCGGTGTCAACTTCCATGATCCTTGCTTAAATCTATACCGAAATCTCAAATTGTCATACCTACTTAACAACGGTGACATTTTGCAATAATTTTGTTACCCTGTTTATATCCACTTGTGTGTGTGTGTGTGTGTGTGTGTGGGGGGGGGGGGGGGGGAAAAAAGATATTGTCTGACTTAAACCGGTCCGTGGGGCAAAAAAGGTTGGGGACCCCTGCTATACACAAAGTCTGGAGACATACAAATGCTTCAGCTTGATTCGAAAAGTTAGAAATAAGGTGATACTGCGCGTGTGTGTGTGTGCGTGTGTGTGTGTCACTGCCAAAGAATGCTACCAACATTGGTTCCAGTGTGTTTCGCCTCAGAGAGCAAGTGAGGTTAAAAAAAAAAAAAAAACTACATTCATTGCATCTTTTCAGATAGGGCTTATTTTGTCAAAGAAAAGAACATCTTGATCATTACGTAAAAAAACAGGTTTTGATACGTTATGGCATGACTGTTTTTCAATACATTTTTCACACATGATCTCACAGCTTGCCAAAGAATGTACACACCCTGGGAACAGACACTTGATGCAAAAACGCGAACAAAAAAAAAAAGCAAAAAGCAAAAAGCCGAGTATTTCACAAGTGAATGAGGCATGTTCTCTCAAGGTATTTGCTTTACAAACGGCATTTTCCGTGACACCACTGACACCTACAATGCGCAAAGATAACTATACTGTCGAAAAGAATCCAAATCTAAATTAACTTATCCTGAAATCAGACTCCCCCCAAAAAAACAGAAATAATCATGGCATCAGTATAGATTGACTTAAAATACAGGTTATCAATTTGAAACAGATCGTTTTAACTTTTTCAATGAATGAAACTGAAAGGCAAGGAGGAGGAATCACGCCTTTTTTTTTCAGGGGAGCGGGGGGGG